AACACCGTTCTGGGATTCGCCCACACCTCGGGCGAAAACATGAAAATAGCATAGGTAGATAGAACCCAACGAGCTCCATCCAATTCTCACCTTTTAAGGTATTATAAGTACTTCCATCCTCCCTAAAACCCCAATATACTCAGAAATCCTGGTTTTTCCCGCAAAACCGTACCGGGATTCGCCCATAGATGGGACCAAAACATGAAAATGACATTGGTAGATAGAACTCAACGAGCTCTATGCAATGGTAACCTTTTAAGGCATTTTAGGTACCTCGATCCCCAAAAAACCCAATATAGTCGGAAATACTGGTTTTCCTCGGACAACTGCTCAGGATTCGCCACCAGTTAGGGCCAGGGTGTGGGTGTGGGTGTTAGGATGTGCGTGTGGATGTCTTGGTGTGGGGGTGGGGCGTGGGTGTGTATTTGTGTGCTTAGACTTTCCAGTTACACCTACACCCACACCCTACCTGCATTCACACACACCCACACCAGAGATGGGATCGGTTGGCATTTTTGCCAAACTGAACCGACCGTAACCGAAAAAATCTCTAATCGAGCCGACCATAACCGGCCGATTTTTTTAAAATTTCTAACCGAACCGAACGTAACCGACCGAATATTTAAAAATTTCTAATCGAACCGACCGTAACCGACCGAATTTCAAAAATTTCACAATCGAACCTAGCTTAGAGAAAGCGAAGTTTAGCTTATGTTAATTAGGGTATTAGTGCTTTATAAATTTGCAAAAACATATCAAACAATATCAACTACCAATAATGAACATTTAGAGAAAGCAAAGAATAAGGATTATTTGTTGGATCTTCTTACTGTATTGTAATTTCTTTACCCTTCAGGACAAATTTAAAAACTATGTGAGATAATCCGCGTTACGAGCAACAGCTAATTGCTCTACGATTATATTCTATTTTCTTATTATGTTTCACTGAAAAAGTCCATTGAACTCAAATCAAACGGTTCTGTCTATTCTTTCTAACCGAACCGAACATAACCCACCGAATTTTTCAAAATTTCTAACCGAACCGACCGTAACCGAAACAATCTCTAACCGAACGGAACCTAACCGACCCACGTCTTTCAAAATCTTCAACCCAATCGATTTCGGTTACGGTTTGTCGGTTCGGTTCGGTTAAAAACGAACCGATCCCATCTCTGACCCACACAGACACTAACAGCACTTACACATCCACACCCTTTTAGTACCAACTCTGGTCAAATCGCGGCGGTTTTCCAAGAAAACCCAGGATTTCTGCTTATATTGGGGTTTTCGGTAGGGTGGAGGTACTAAGGATTACCTAACAAGGGTACCATTCGATAGAACCCGTTGAGTTCTATCTACCTATGTCATTTTCATGTTTGCGCGCGAGGTCTGAGCGAATCCCCGAACGGTTTCGCTGCAAAAACCAACACTTCTGAGTATATTGCGGTTTTGTAGGGAATGGAATCACTAAGAATACCTTAAAAGGTGAGCATTGGATAGAGCTTGTTACGTTCTATCTACCTATCTCATTTTCATGTTTTCCTCCCAGCTGTCGGCGAATCCCGGAACGGTTTTGCCGGAAAAAAGCAGGATTTCTGAGTATATTGGGGTTTTGGGGGGGATGGAAGTACTTATAAAACCTTAAAAGGAGAGCAATGGATAGAACTCATCGAGTTCTATCTATCTATGTCATTTTCATATTTTGGTACTGGCTGTGGGCGAATCCAGGATCGTTTTTTGCGGGAAAAATCAGGATTTCTGAGTATATTGGGGTTTTGTAGGGAATGGAAGTACTAAGAATACCTTAAAAGGTGAGCATTTGATAGACCGCATCGA